ATTTCCATTTCCTGTTTCTCCTCTCCGTTCCCACTACTTAAAGGTGAGCGCACATGTTGCAGCTGGTATTGTGCTGGGCTTTGGTGTGAGTAACATTTGTGTCATGACGCGGCGGAGTCAGGCGCTCGTCAATTTTGAGCTCATAGTATAGTACAGAGTTATTGGGATAATCCTAAATCCTGTCCATTTTGAGCTCATAGTATAGTACAGAGTTATTGGGATAATCCTAAATCCTGTCCATTTTGAGCTCATAGTATAGTACAGAGTTATTGGGATAATCCTAAATCCTGTCCATTTTGAGCTCATAGTATAGTACAGAGTTATTGGGATAATCCTAAATCCTGTCCATTTTGAGCTCATAGTATAGTACAGAGTTATTGGGATAATCCTAAATCCTGTCCATTTTGAGCTCATAGCATAGTACAGAGTTATTGGGATAATCCTAAATCCTGTCCATTTTGAGCTCATAGTATAGTACAGAGTTATTGGGATAATCCTAAATCCTGTCCATTTTGAGCTCATAGTATAGTACAGAGTTATTGGGATAATCCTAAATCCTGTCCATTTGCCCCCCTTTTGGTGAACAAAATTCCCGCCTATCTTTTAATTAGAAGTTAAAATATTGCGTGAAAGTTGCCTTTTTTTCTAGAATAAGAGAAAATGTAATAACAATTTAGTAAGTGTGTATGGAGAGCTTTTTCATTTGATAATTGTTTGTACACATGTATTTAGTCAATCCTTCTGCTGCAATTTCAAAGACTTTATTCTTGCTCTTATGATTTGTCCCATCACATTTAGTGAACTATTTGTTAGAATTGGATGAAATAAAGCTTGGCTGGCCAGTAATGGCAGAAGGTTGCCATGTTCAGGTTTCATTAAGATACTTTTTTGTGCAATATTTGTGAAAGAATGCCTTTTAATAATGTGTCCATGTAAAAAATGCAATGTTTTATTTCTGTGCAATGGTTGTTACTTCAATAGCTTTGAAGGTGAAATAGAAACATATTTATATTAATTTTAACAGTTCTGAATTCAGCTCTCTTATTGAAAGTTTTAAGTAAATGTTGTGTGCAATGAGAAACATTGTCAGAAAATATGGACGTTTGTCATGGAATTTGGTACGGCCGTTGGGAGGGAAATTTCCCACAGTTGTGATGGAAAGCAATTGACATATTATATATATATATATTGTCGCTGTCGTGAGCAATCCACATAAGTCCAATTTTGAGAATTTAGAAAATTTTTTACTCTCCCAAAACTCTACCAAAGATGCACATTTTAATATCATCAAAACACAGTTTGACTAGAGAGGGTTTACAGTACCATTTAACAGTAGTATTACAGTAAACTCTCTGGTTTGGCTCAACATTGTGGATACACAGTAGGAGTGAGTCGCTTACGATACGTGAGGCAGCGTGATGGAATCAGGCTCTCGTCAAAATAATCAAATTGAAGAAACTTGTTTTTTCCACAGGTTTGTGAATTTTTATCAAATTTTTGTTTTTTGGCTCAACTCCTTTCATGCCCATTAAAGAACTCATTTCTGTGTGGATTTTTCTGAAAAATGTGGATTAAAGGCACAAAAAATGTAAATTTTCACTTACCACGGACTATTCAAATAAGGGAATAACTAGCATCTTTGGCCGCCATTTTCTTACTAATTTTACCTCTGAAAACAGGTGACCTCCACCTCCTTCATTCGCAAATATCTCGATTTGTATTCTAGATAAATGGATATTGTTTTCATCCAAATAAAGACAAGTGAACAAGCTTTAAGAGGATACCAATAACTCTACATGCCCAAAAATTGACGAGAGCCTGATTCCACCACGCTGCCTCACGTTTGTGAAATTGTGCTGCTGCTTCTAGTCCTTATGTTTTCTCTCTGACCTTCGTTCTGCTTTTGCTTCCTACGTTGGTTTGGCTTTACGATGTATTTTGTTTTGTTTTGTTGTGCAAACTGCTTTTGCTACTTACGAATCTCAAATCGCTGATAAAATTTGTTGATCATGTTTTTACCTGGAGTAGCTCAATTTTTGTTGTTGCTAATTTGTTTTCTTAGTTTTCTCTTCAACTCTATAGATTGAGTCAGTGGAACCAGCCCTGAGCCCCTATATCCTGCATTTGTGTGTATACGTATTGTTGTATATGTTTCCACGTATCTTCAAATTCAGGGAATATTTATCATACCGGTACATAGTGATTCTATAAACCTCAATTTGTGTTGAAGTGTAATAGACAAAGAAATTAATATATATACATATAAATGTTATGTATAATAACTTAATATCAAACATGTCGTAAATCCTTACTGTGCACTGGATCCAAAAATAGCTGACCAGGGGGTCAATCTCGAGTTTGATCCAGTTTCAACTTAAAAATCACTCCCTTGGGCTTTTGACTCCTCGAGTTTATAAGTTTAAGATAGTAAATTAAAGCCCAGATTCTGAAGTTTAAGATAGTAAATTAAAGCCCAGATTCTGTTTGTTTTGTTTTTGACACGTAGTGTACTCCTGTGATGATGCTGAAACACTGGGAGTGAAATGACAGTATTGGAAATCTCTTTCAGAGATAGATTATATGTGAGGCATCGTGGTGAAATCAGGCGCTCATCAAAATGATAAAAACAAAAAAATTGGCATTTTTCTGGCTGTCGGGCATTTTTTTTCTAATTTTCTTTTCTTGGCCCAACATCTTTTACATTCATTTAAAAAAGCATTTCTATGTGGATTTTACTGAAAAACATTGTTTCAAGCCACAAAAAATGTAAATTTTCATTTTCCAAGGACTTTCAAGCTATGGAAATGACCAAACTTTGGTAGCCATTTTCTCGCTAACAACACATGATGGATATTTTTTCTCGAAAAGAAAGGGAACTGGACAGGCTTTAAGATGATACCGATAACCCCATATGTCCAAAAATTGATGAGCGCCCGATACCACGACGTTGTGACTCATATTATTATAAATGTCTTTTGTCATTTAGAAAATATTTGCTATGAAACAGGGCCTCCAGAGTAAAACAAGAAAGCGTATTAATATTATTGTGGTTTAATATTCTGTGACATCTGAGAGACTTGAGGTCGGTTGTTGTATTTGTGGTGGTGTTTTCATTCATGTTTCGATGTGATGCTATCAGTGATCAATGTCCATTCCACACCTCCGCTCTTTTCTAGTATTTTTGAAGTGATATTTATTGTTGTTCAGACTATCTATACATATCTAGCTATTTGAATATGTTGTTAGATATTTATTTAGTTTGCACTGCTGTATTGTGAATGATTTGTGAAAATAAAGTCATTTACACATTAACAATTATTTTAGTGTCCTCCGTAGTTGTTGTCGTGGGGTCGGTAGCCTCGTGGTTACGCCACCAGACTCGTAATTGTGAGGTTGCAGGTTTGGGGGTTCGAGCCTCAGCTAAGTCAGACATTGTGTCCTTGGGAAAGGTGTTTTACACGAAATTCTCGTTTGGCTCTGTCCTTTCAGAGATGGACGTTAAACTCAGAGGCCCCGCTTCTGAAATAACATAATAGTATTGGTAGAGGCGTTAAACCTGTACCGTTTCCCCATTTTTTTGTGGTAGTTGTCTAATCAATGCCCCACCTGTTATATTATATATATCGTCAGTGTTCAACTCTAAACAGGGATGTAAATCTTCCGGCTTTTTCCGTTTTTCCGGCCGACTTGCCATTTGGGCCCCAGCTTTTAACAAAAGTCTACTATAAACAAAACATATTATATATTACTAAATAGAGATTATTTGTTGTAATAGTAGAGGGAAAGAAACAAATATCATTTAGTTCCACTGTATTAATTTCAGTCAGTGCGCGTATATTTTCCAGATTTTTTTTCAAAAGCTGTTTACATCCCTGCCTAACCTTGTTGTATATATATATACCACAGGTCAAACCCATTTTTGTGTCCACTTGTGTTATTCCCAACCACTAGTAGAAGTACAATTGGTGGTACTATAACGGGCAGAAAGGACATTCTACACGAAATTTTAAGCAGTTTTGGGTAGGCCTGCCTTGATAGTAAGATTTTACCCCCCCCCCCCCCCCGAAATAAAAGTGTTTGACCTAAATTGGTTTATATACAGTTATTCAGACACCGACGATATATATATATATGTATAATTTTGTTTATATTCTTGGTTTTATTTGTGATATGATCATGTTGCATTGATTTACATAATATAATTTTTAATGTTTTAGGATCAAAATGCATCTATACTTAGATCTGAGTTGATATTTTGTCCATTTTGATTTGATTTGCTCAATTTTACTAGACCCGTATATATATATATATATACTTTGTTGGGTAAGCTTAAAACTGCAATTTGGTATCACATACTTTATTAACATTATTTGTTATGCAGGCTACCATTTTTTTTTAGAGGACATTTTCTGGTAGTTTTGTTCGTGGGGAATTTTTATTTGTTTTTTTGTTAAACGATTGCTAATGTATACAATAAAATTCGTTTGCAAAAGAAAACATTTTTTCTCTTGTTTATTTGATCTCCTGAAATTTGTAAGGACTAGAGACATCGGCCCTTGGTGCGACCGTGCCTGAGCGCTTCCAGTTCCCCATTTTTCCTTTTGTGCAGCTCGTGTGCAATATGTTTTATTAGAATTACGTGCCTTGTCTAGTTCCACTTCTGTACATACACCGCTACTTGAGAGAGTGAGAGAGAGAGAGAGAGAGAGACAGAGAGAGAGAGAGAGAGAGAGAGAGAGAGAGAGAGAGAGAGAGAGAGAGAGAGACAGACAGAGAGAGGGGAGAGTGGGAGAGAGAGAGGGGTTGGGGGTGGTGGCTATCATCAAGAGGGCTGGGGAGGGGAGTTGGGGGTGGTGGCTATCATCAAGAGGGCTGGGAGGGGGGAGGGGGGGGGGGGGGGTTGGGGGTGGTGGCTATCATCAAGAGGGCTGGGAGGGGGGAGGGGAGGGGAAGGTAAAGCACTATAACATAACCATCAAGAAATGAAGTTACACATAAAATGTAAACCACACCTTTATTCTCACCAGCTTGTGTGAATAAAGAATCAACAAATGAAACCCCTCATTCTATACAACACAGAAAGTACACCAACTTCTACATCACAGCCCAGTTATTGGTGGAAACGGTCTCTCAAAGCACCGTACACAGAACTACAGACATTGTGATAATCTACCACGATAGCCCACGGAGAAAACTAAAAGAGAAGAAACCATTCGATTTTGATGCTATCATATAGCCTACGTAGAAAACGAAAAGAGAAGACACCATTCGATAATTGATGCTATCATATAGCCTACGTAGAAAACGAAAAGAGAAGACACCATTCGATAATTGATGCTATCATATAGCCTACGTAGAAAACTGAAAGAAAAGACACCATTCAATAATTGATGCTATCATATAGCCTACATAGAAAACTAAAAGAGAAGACACCATTCGCTTATTGATGCTATCATATAGCCTACGTAGAAAACTAAAAGAGAAAAAACAATTAATTGAAAATTAATGCTGTCTTCCAACATGGGAGATGTTTGGTTACCGTAGTCACCACTCGCCTCACATCATAATTAATTACTGGAATTTATTCTTTGATGTCGGACTGACAGCTTTAACGGTGGTTTTGGATATTTCATTAAGAGACACGAGATTTTAGAGATCTGGGCAAGAGATCATCTTAAGCATGTGAAAGCATTAGGATATCGCCGACACGAAAAAATTCATTTAACCAAAGACAAAAAAGTCGGGTAAAAGGTCAAAGTTCACCTTTCCTTAGAATCTGCCCAACTGCAAAGAGTTTATATTAGCCCACAAAGACAGAGGAAATGTTTTTCCCAAACAAAGTAGCACCACATGAACCCAGGAACATTAAAGCTTAACTTTATACTTTTTGATGCAGATCTTAATCCCCAGTGAAAAGAAACAGCAAGCCATATACAAACTTTGACAAAATAATTTTTTTAAACATATTATCTTATTGACAGAACTTGGAACTCCTAGCCAATATCAAAAATGAAATCTTTTTCACAACAGCAAATATAAATAGAGTAAAAGTAAATCTTTGTCAAAATGGCCACACAAGATAGAGGCACCACACTCTGCTACAACAAGTACTTCGACTGTTCCGATCAGTCTTCATACCTTTCGCACTTTCAGAGACACCCTTCATAGTCATAGAATAGTACAATGTCCGAAAAAATAAAATAAAACATATTCCATTTCTTCAGGTCCAAAACCAATCATTTCAAAGACCCATGTAATTACAGCTGATTAAAACCTGTCAATTCTTTGCCATATCGACAGACCAAAGGGCTAGAACCCAAATGGCCGCTGGATCGGAAAAGTAAAGCAAAGACCCATGTAATGACAAAAAGACAGAAAACGTCTAAGACACCCAGAGAAGGAACAAAGACAATAGCAATTCAATTAAATATACCAAATACATAGCATTTGCCCACTTAATCTTTATGACTTCTCAAGCAAAATATTCACTTGGACTGCACTATACATACGACTAAAGCTTACTATATATTAAAAAAATAAAACATTGCAGACAGACTGAATTTCAAAGACGTTGCAGACAGACTGAATTTCAAAGACGTTGTCAATTAATGATTTTGCCAGCTTTTCCATTTTTTGGGTTAAAATTGCAGATGTAAAGTCACCCATTCTTTGGCTGTTGAGTTGTCTGCAGCTACTCCTGACAACTGTTTAACAGACATTCATGAAACTGAATTCTATTTTTATATCATAATGTTTCCACCAACCACACGTGCATGCTAACAAAAAACATGAATCAAAAAGCAATATTGTGAAGGAAAATCTCAAAAAGACACCACAAGATCTTCAAATGACACAATTCACTCGAAGGATCTTACCAGAAAAAGACAACAGGAAAGAGAAGAGGGCTGGAGAGACAGACAAGATAGAGAAGGTAGTAGAGCAAAATCTACATTTATACACATCAGTCAATGTAATGATTGAGTACATGAGATGTGAAATAGAACACAGGAGACAATAAAAATGACACCAGTTTTTCCTGATGTACGTAACGGGAGGATCATTGACTTCCCCGACATAGTTCAAAGCTTCTCATTACAAAACCCAGTGGAACATCAAACCCAGTCAAACAAGAACATTTGAGATTAAAAACAAAAGCAAAATTTTTTCCTGCCCAGTGATGAAAAAAGTGAATGCAAATGACAATATTCAACTTGATTAAGTGCATAACTCATCTACAGAGAATCTGCGCATAAAAAAATATCTAAAGAAACCAATCGGATGAAAAAATGAACCCGAAATTACAATTTTCACCCCAGGAATACACACTTTGTTATACAGTTACACCTGCTCAATGCGTATTTTCACAGGCAAAGGTCTCGCTTCAACAAAATCCTGAGGATGAACTCCCCTGATGCCTTTCTTCTCTCGAAGATGTCGTAAGTATTCCAAGTCCCCGTTGATGCTTAGTTTCTGCAGGATTCAGACAAAAAAAAAAGATATATTATATTGAGCGACATATATCAACAATTCAAAGCCAATGAGGACTCCATAGATATTAAACAAATTGTAACTGTGAGGGTATACATGGTGGACATTGAGATAGCAGTGATTCATGACAGAGCAAGCAATCCTGAAAAGACACGTCTTAATCTTTTTCCCATTATTTTGAACAAATTCTAAGGAATAACAGATTTTGTGAGACAAGATATGAAGATACACAATGGGAGTATAAACCAGGCGTATGTTTCAGTTGTTAAGATTTCACAGCACCATGTGGATGTCAACAGAGAAGTCCAAATGGGGAATCAGGCTTACTCTACTCACCTCTCTAGCCGCAACAGCACAAAGTCTGCTTCCACTATCAAGGCACCCCGGAAATAGCGTGTCACAAGAGAGTGACAAACATACGAAAGAAGTAGAGGAAAAATTACGACAGCAAGGATGAGGAAAGAAAAAGCAGCAGTTCGCCCTCTATGTAGTTCCGGCACAGTATGAGCATGACATTGATAAAATAGACCATTTACAATTCTACTGTGCATAAGAACATGTTAATATCCCCCCTTTGGGAACAGCCTTTTCTCCCCCACAAATGTTTCACCTGCGGGAACCTCTGCTCTGGGGCTGTGACCGCTGCGGACATACACAGCCAGATCATGGCGATGGCACTGAGGAGAATGATGATGCACAGAAGGAGTCGTGGGATTCCCGTCTTGCGGGCGATACAGGACAGCCAATCACTGTTGTTGCTGTCTTCGGTACTCGACCACGGGTACGCCTGTATCAAAATAAAGTCATTAAGTTACTCTTATCAGCATTTTTGCCATGGGTACGCCTGTATCAAAATAAAGACATTAAGTTGATGTCGTCAGCATTTGAGCATGGGTACACCTGTATCAAAATAAAAATGTTACGTTTTTGGTATCCTTTAAACAGAGCTGACCTTACTGAGCATATAGAATAGGACACATTACACTTTGTAGTCAGACAGACTCCTACCCTTGCAACATTCACTTTATCTTCACTCCCTTTCCCTATCACAAGTCAACAAGCTTTGTAAAAATAACGCCTACCCTCGCAGCATTCATTTCATCTCCAAAACTGCGCACAGACTTCATCTGTGAGTGCCGGAGCATCTCTGTGGCGGTGTTGTCCGAGGCCTCGATGTTTGTCTCAACGCCGCTGCTGGTGCCCTTGAAGGTGGAGTAGTCTGCAGACACAAGAAACGGACAGAGATAAAAGAGAACGGAAGTTGCAAAAGCACAACCATACTACACTGTGAATCCTGCGATTAGTTAACTGGCTTGTTTATTCAAAATGCAACGAAGCACTTCTTTATACAATAGTGTGGTCGCCAGAGAAAATCGCACACACTGTCATTTTTTCACATTCTAAACTGACACTGCCATGTGAAAAGCCTTTCACTTGGTTTAAATCTGAAAATATCTCAGTATTTCACAAAATATAGCATATTTTAGATATTTAACTGAGCGAAGCACAGAGCTAAGAAAATACGTTAAAAGAAGAATGGACGCAAAACAACTTTGCCTGTAGTATTTTTTGCTAGTGAGCTTGCATTGAAGCAATGGAGCATTTTGAAATAAGATATTTCTTTTTTCATCTTGCAAGCATTAGCATTTCAGCAATCTTACACAGATTCAGCTGGAGAGCAGCAGCCAGTGGGCAGCAAATCATATCAGGCTTTATGGATAAGAAACGGCGAAACCAAGAACATTCTCCTCTGCAGATGTACTGGTCACCATCGGACATTGATGGATGAGCTATTATTATTACAATTGTTCTACAGACTCCACCAAACAAACAAAAAATGTCTATACTTTGAATGACAAAAAGGTGAACCACAGAACCTGTCTGGGGGCTCTTTTTGACATTATGGGTAGGGTCAACTTGAAAAAGCAACATTTTAGTTTGCTCAGACGTTTGTCTTCAAAGTTTTCTCTTTTTTTGCTGTACAGGAGAAAAAAAGTATAATTTTCCAAATTTAAATAATACTAACAAGACAGAAAATTTCAACTCACTTTGTTCAAAGACCACTTATAACACACACAAAAAATCTTAATCTGAAATTTTCACAGACTTTCAAACTTCTGACACCCAATTCCCCTTCCAAAAATCGTGTATACCAGGAAAATGTGAGACACAACATTCCATTTGTCCGTACCGTCAAAATCTTGCACGTCCAGATCTACGACCTGCGGGTGCGACTTGATGACCACCAGGCGGCCGGTGCCGTCCTGCATGAAGAAGGACCAGGACACGGACATGTGCTGCGTCACTTTGTCCACCATGTTGCTGTACACGTTGTGCATGTACATCAGTGGGTACATCATGCCCGCGATACTCTGGTCTGGGTCGCCACCCTCCATGGACGGCATCTTCTCAGCCACAGACGCCACAGGTGCCACAGGTCAAAGGAATGGAAAGAGAGAGAGAAAGAAATACTGTAGTAATAATAATAATGACAATGTAGAACATTTCTACGGCGCCCACTCCAGTGTGAACACAGCTCAAAGTGCTTTACATAAATGTATGTACGAACAATATTCACACACCCATTCACATACATGCACACATCTACTTGCTTATCACATGTGCACGTTTACACATCGTTACGAAATGAGCACATACAAATATATGCACAAAACAATGCAATTCGAAAAATATATCAGGAATATAGCTCTTAAACACACAAAAAAATGAAAGAATTCATTTTGCCATCACTGAAAATGAGGTGAGAAGAGTCTTTATTTAAGCTCTCTATCAACATCAAGTGCCAGATCTAAAAAAGACATCCCTCCTGCCTTGTCTGCTTTCCATTTGGCCAGTAAGAGCTGGATGTTCAATAAGGCCTTTATGTCGATTCAAATGTTTAGCAAACTGAACTTGCATCATTTTATAAATGTTTTTATTAAATGGGCTTTCAGCACTAACTCACTTGATTTCTTGTCCTTTAAAGAAATCCTCAACCACCTCTGGAGAAATCGCATGCTTTCTATCACCCCCCAAATGAATCAGCCTTTTCTTTTATCTTAAGGAGAGGCCACATCTGTGACATCATGCCTGGAGAACTGACCAAGGTACCAACATCCATGGAAGGAATGTTCTCAGAAGTGGAAGAACACAAAGGCAAGAACACATGTCTCTGTAAGCTAGTGCTGGGCGGCTAGGTAGGTTCCCGATTATTGAAAGCTAGGAAGCGTAGGACTCGACTCCGAACCCAATTACTTATTTTTTAATGATGTGATTTCTTCTGGTGGCTATTTGGTTAGCTCCGAACATCTTCAGGATTTAGGATAACCTTGATTTCGGAACACTACGAAGCATCAACTTTTATTTATCAAAATAAATTCTAAAAAAAAAAAAAAAAGATTTCAATGATTAAAGTAACTGGTAACTGTTGATTAACGTAAAAAGGAGTCTGAACTTTTCTTCCGTAGCATTAATTGTGGGAATCGTTTCCGGAATCGATTCTTCACCCAGCTCTACTGTAAGCCGTACTGATACCATCACGCTCAAACAGTACTGACACCATCATGCTCTAGCAGTACTGATACTGTCACACGCTCAAACAGTACTGATACCATCACGCTCAAGCAGTACTGATACCATCACGCTCAAACAGTACTGATACCATCACGCTCAAGCAGTACTGATACCATCACGCTCAAACAGTACTGATACCATCGCGCTCAAGCCGTACTGATACCATCATGCTCAAGCAGTACTGATACCATCACGCTCAAGCCGTACTGATACCATCACGCTCAAACAGTACTGATACCATCACGCTCAAACAGTACTGATACCATCACGCTCAACACTCTGTTTCAACTAAATTTCCTATACAGGTATCTAAGTAAATGAGCTCTTCCTTGATACAATAAATTTATCCATCAGTCAGTCTGTGGCATCAAAGACATGTTAAACAACTGTGATAGCCCTTTTATCCTAACAAAAAGCTGAACAGAAAAATATTGGAAAAACTTACCTGCCCCCATTTGTCTGCTACAGGGACTTGACTGTCACACCCTAGAGAACAGGCCATGGATCCCTCCTCTTCACTTTGATAAGCATCTTTGCAATCTGTCAGAAAAGAAAATTTGAATATAAAAATTTTCAGCATTCACATGACAAGTTCTTAACGAAACGACAATGAGCTGAGAGAGTATAAATGTCAAAACAGAAGATCAGGAAAGCATCACATTCAAAATCAGTTATACTCCATGTATCGTTGGAGATGAGAGTTTTAAAATTTTGTAAATGACAGAAAAAAAAATCAAAGAAAAATGCATTAAGCGAACACCAAAGCATTAAAAAAACCAAGAGAGACTTCAGAGACTAGAACTGATTAGATGGCACTTTAGACTTTAGTCTAGAACTCAGATAACTGGCAGTCAGTCATAGCTTCCCAACTGCCAACAAACAAGTCTTGTAGAAACAGTATTAGACACAAAATACTAAAACAATAATTAATTTAATACATTATATGTGAGGCAGCGTGGTGGAATCAGGCTCTCGTCAATTTTCGGGCATGTAGAGTTATTGGTATAATCTTAAAGCTTATTCACTTGTCTTTATTTGGATGAAAAAAAATATCCATTTATCTTGAATACAAGTCGAGATATTTGCGAAAGAAGGAGGTGGGGGTCACCTGTTTTCAGATGTAAAATCAGTGAGAAAATGGCCACCAAAGATTAGTTATTCCCTAAGCTTAAGAGTACATGGTAACTGAAAATTTACATTTTTGTGCCTTTAATCAACGCTTTTTAAGAAAAATCCACCCAGAAATGAGTTGTTTAATGGGCATGAAAGGTGTTGAGCCCAAAAACAAAAATTTGATAAAAATTCACAAACTTGCGGGAAAATGCAGTTTTCTTCACTTTGATTATTTTGACGAGAGCCTGATTCCATCACGCTGCCTCACATATTACAATTCAGTTCAGAGAAATTTCCGTAAGCTGATGTGAGAATGGTAAATACACTCAAACACACACACACACACACACACACATCCCAACCTAAGGAACCTAAATGTGACAAACTATCCTCAAGAACTCTTTTCACGCCTGCTTCCCTCGATCAATTCCCGCATCTGGGGGTTGGCAGCACACAACTTACTTTCATGACAAGCCTTGACGGTACCATTCACGCCATCCTCCTCTCCCACAAGTTCGATGATGGAGTATAAACGACAGCCTCTCAAACAGCAGCCTGCGGAGGTGCTCTGTAGCAAGGAAAAGAAACATTTATATATTACAATAGCTGGAGAAACAAAAACAAAATCACCAACACCCCACACGACTCTGGGGTTTTTTTTTGGTAAGTGTTTTATGGCGCTCACTACTACATTAGGTCATATATGAGTCCGCGGTTTACACATTTTCAGTTGATGGAAAATTTGAATTTTGCCCATGTGGTGGACGAAGCATACTCTTATCAATTTTTGACAACCAAGGGATCTTTAACGTGCGAAACTTGTGAACAGGACCTCCAAGATTGTTTTTTTTCGCTCTTATCCCAGAAGGTTAAGTGGCTGAAAGACAGCAGTAAGAAGGAGACAAGGAGTAGCAGTAGAAAGGCTGCAGAAACAGGAGCCCAGAGGAGGGGCAAAGGAGGTGAGGGAGTGGGGGCATAAAGTGGAAACGAAAGCAGATGACAGAACATTGTTTAGTTAGAGAGCAGGAAAGGGTGTGAAAGGAGAACATTCTTAGAGAAGAACATTTTCGGTCGCTATCTGGATTCAAACCCGGGACCTATTGAATGAGAAGCGGACATCTTAACTTCTAGACCACGGGAGCCCCCACATAACTCGAGGGAGGCTAACGTGTAAAAAAAACCCAGCCAACCAAACATTCATCAAACAAATGATTCTCAACTGTTGTAAATGATATATATTGTAAATATTCTCTCCTGAAGAATGCATCGGTTTTCCTCTCTAAATAATATAGCCTTTATTTTTATCTTAAAAATTGTGATATAACGTGATAGTCTTGATTACCATAGTGCTACTAAATGGAACATTTTGAGATGAAATTTTCAGGAAATAATAATGTTTGTTTTTTGTTCTTGTTTGAAAGGGTGTTTGCATTGAAAGTTGAAAGACGAAAGCCTTGTACCTGATTTATCCTGTTGATTTCCATCTCTAACTGGTGGATCAATCAATTTGTTCAAATTTCATTGGAAAAACATCTAAAGATAAGTGATACCATCACTATGAGTTTTAGAAAAACAACACAGGCAGTTTTCTAGAAGTAGGCTAGAAATGCACACAAACGTGCACTTTTTACTTGACTTAGGGAACGCACAAAAAGAACACTTGCTTGCAATACAGCCATCGCGATAAACAAACGCTTGACAAGAAAAGAACTTGCTTATCGTTGAGGGGCACAGAAAGATTGCAAATCGTGCTTGCGACTGGTATAGACACCAAGCTTGGTCGTTTTGTGCCATGGCAAGTGAAGAAGAACCATTATTGCTTGACAGTGTTTTGCTGAAAATTGTCCTAAGAAAACGCAAAAGAATGGGTGTTTGTGAGATAATAAAAGGAGGCGAATGAAAGGTGAATATCAGCACTCTATATCATTTCCTTTGCTTAAAATGAGCCCTTCTTGTTTTCAGTCCTTCTTGAGAGCGAGCCAAGAGACATTCAAGTATAATAACATCTTAGCACACAGCTTACATCAAAGACTGGACATGACATCCATTTCGGTCAGACTGTCACCGAAACAGAGAAAATGCACACTGCACTTTAATCAAGTTGCGATCAGACAATACATGAGGGACACCAAGTACACGTTTGTTCGCAAGAAAGAATTAAGTTCTGATTCTTCACCTTTTCCAAGCGTCGCTTGAAATTTCAGGCGCGATAAAGCGAGCATACTTTTTGTATGGCACAAGCAAATTTTGAACATTTCAAGTATTTGTCCCAAAGCGCTCGTTTTTAAAAAATCGTGAGCAAGCGTTCTCTTTGTGCTCCCCCTTACACTTTGGCTGCAGAAACACGGGGCCCGCAGCAGAGAGTGCCGGAACAATTGACCTAATCATATATATGCAGTTGCGACGATCCCCCCAAACTAAAAATTAAGTCTAAATCTAAAGACTATGAATATTATAATACAACTAACTAGATCTAAGTGTCGAACACGCTGCTGCCCATGCGACCAAACGTAGAATGACGCAAACTTTTTTTAGGCAAGGCGACCATTTTGTGTGATGTCAAACCGGGACATCCAGCCCTCCGATCACATGACTACTTCTAATACATATAGCCAACTGCATGTTACCAAAGATCGTGTAGAGAATCTTAGCTGCCAAGATGCTTTGGTGCGATGTTTTTCCAGGAATACCGGGAATGTGATATGATTCGGTGCTCCAAGGATGCTGATCTCTTCAGGGGAGGGGGAGTGCAGGAGAGTCTTTTGGCTATTCTCACCCGGTGGGCGTTCACCGTTATAGTTATAGCCTAGGCCAACCAGTGAAGCGTTCACCCTGAACCACAGAATTTTACACTGTGATTATAACAGAATTGTAGAATTCTGTGCCCGTGAACAAACGTTCTAGATCTAGATCTATTACTACTGTTAGTGTTAGCCTAAAAGCATGCAATTTTGTCTGTGGGCAGTGGAGAGAGAGAAAGAGAGAGAGAGGAGTAGCGTGAGAACTTCTGGACAAAACAAAATGGCGACCCGCGTAGTTCGGCTCGATTCGGAAAGTTAAATAGCCATAGCATCTTTGTAGACGATCAAATTAATTTAGTTATGTGTTTTAACATCATTTTAAAAATTTGTTTTGGTCAATTTGATCGTCCACATCGATAGACAGTATTCAGAAAGAGACAGAGAGAGGAGAGAGAGAGAGGGGACGAGTGGAT